ATGACAGACCCGACCTCTCGTCAGAGAGGGCGCTACACATGGACAGGACGGTAACTTTCATTGAAAAGAAATATCTGGTCATGAGCCCCAGCTGGGGCTCGACACCAAGACAAACAGACTGACCGACCGTCAGTTGTAACATGACCCTCGCCCTCGCCCTCGTGACTCTAACGGGACTCGGAATTCCGAACCGTCAGTAGTCCAGCCCTTAGCTAGTAGCTATACCGACTCCTGTTCATCTATTCATTCATTCATTCATTCATTCATTCATTCATTCATTCATTCATTCATTCATTCTTCAGTAATCTGTCAAGACGATAGGTCCACAGTCTCTTCCAAAACAGTTCCTCCACTTGATGCGATGTAGATCTGTCTCCTTCAAATGAAAATATCCTCTTCTGTCCCCAAGGTCATCCAGCATCTTCTTACGTCTTCTTCCTCGTCTTCTGGTCACTTCTATCCGCCCCTCTATCTTTCCTTCAATAACTTCTTTTAGAAGGCAGTTACCGCGTAAGATATGACCAATCCAATTAGCCTTCCGTTTTCTTATTTCGTGTAGGATATTCCTCTGCTCACTGACTCTAATTAACACTTCTTCATTTCTCACATAATCGGTCCAACTGATCTTCTCCATCCTTCTCCAACACCACATTTCGAAGCTTTCCAGGTGTTTCTGATCTACTGCCCTAAGTGCCCAACTGTTCACCTAAGCGAAACAATTTTAATTTAAAATCGTGTTGCTCAGATTCGAAAGTAGGATCTTCTTTGATACGACTGTACCCGTTCCTAATATTTCCCATTTCAACAAGTTGTAATAGTTTCGGAAAACAGAACAGAAGAGCGCGGTTTTTCGTCCGTTTGGGATAATGGCAGGCTTGCAGAAGTTCAGTGACCTAGGTAGCCATGGTGCCTACAATTTCTTTCCTATTATAACTAATGCATCACCAATCAAAGAATCAGCGGTATGCTCCTTTCCTTTATCCATTTCCTTTATCCATTTCCTCTCACCAACTCCTTCCCTCTTCTATTCATATTGCTTTTCCACCCACGTCCTTGGCAGCTTTTTTTTAATTATTCATCTCCCCCTTCCTTCCTCCGTCTCCTTCACTTTATAACATTCCTTTTGTCCCTCATCCTTTATTCCTTTTGTGTCTTTGTCTCCAACTTTAGAGGATAGAGTGTGTCGCGTAGTCAGCGGAACGAATTCCCACGGCCGTTAATTTCGGTTTTATAGACCGGAACCGCTATTTCCTTGAAATAATTCCTCAATTATCTTCACGAGGCTGAGTGAATCTCTTTCCAGACCCAATACTTCTCAGAAAGTGTGGTAGCGCCGGGAATCGAACCCTGACCTCTGGATCTGTAGCCAGGAACTCCGACCACTAGACCACAATAACTTCGCCGACAAGCAGCGGTCGCTCAGTCGTTATATTTCGCTTGCGGACTACAAGCCACGGAGTTTTTTGTTGGCCGCGCCATAGCTCAAGCGGTTAGTCGCTGGCTTCCCACCGCGGCTTCCCGGGTTCGATCCCGGGTCTGGTCAAGTGGGAGTTGTGGTGGACAAAGTGGCGCTAGGGCGGGTTTTCTCCGAGTACTAAAGTTTCCCCTGCCAATCTTCATTCCACCAAATTCTCCATCATAATCACTCGGGGCAGGCTACAATAGACCAATCAGTGGCCGCCGAGTGGACCTAGTTTGACTCCACCCCTCACTAAGCGAATTAATTTTTTTTTTGTTTTGTTTGTGCCTTTATCTCCTTCCTGATTATTTTCCCATTCTCGTTTTATGTCTCTCATTGGCATTTCTTTTGGAGGAGACCCCAGACTCTTCACCTTTCTAGGATACAGGAAGAGGAATAACCGTTAAGTATGGGGATGGTTCAGGAGGCAGGATAACTCGCTAAGTATGTCAATAGGTTATGACTTGTGTGGCTGGGGTTCTATTCCTCTACTCCTCAGCATCAGGCTGACTCTGGGACAAACCCAGCTGCCTATCCAGTGGGTACCAGGGGTTTGAAGCTACAGCTCAGCTCCATCTAGTGCCATGGTCAAGAACGGTGGAGCTGTACCTCCACTCTCCCATATATCTGTATGAGATGGTAACTGATTAAGTAAGCACAGCAAAACTCTACCTTTCTATGGGTAAAAGTTTCAGATGTTATTTTTCTTAACGTGACATGCAAATTTCTCATCTTAGGTATTTTTTTCTAGTAATCTGGCTCCTAGATTTTTGGCGGAGTTACGAAAAATTCGTGTAGTCTTGGCCAGTGGGTTAAAATGCCTACTTTATATTTTTTCAGATCACCAGTCTCAACGTACAAGCCAAGCTACCTTCACCGCCCAGGTGCTGAACCACTGTTTGCCCTCACATTGGGGCAGTTAGCACAGAAAGCAGCAGAAGAATGGGGTGAGAAAGAAGCATTAGTGTCAGTGTACGAGCAACAACGTTACACTTTCAAAGAAATGCTAGAAAAGGTAACATGTTATGTATTTTGCATATTTAAGTGTTATGGATGATAAACCTTCTGATAGACATGGCCCTCAGTGTTATATTTATAAGCTGTACGCTGCAGTAGGAACTCTTGAGTGTGTGTGCGCCAAAGTCTGTGTTCGGAGTTCAGTGACTCGGGGGTAAAAAAATCTCAGTATCTGGTTAGGCTAAAGCAAATAAGCAGTGAATATTTATGTATACAATATTAAGTGATTAACTTTTTACCATGGAGATAAGTTTCCTTTTCTGTGAGATAGGAACTAAATTTGTGAATATTATATAATATGAGTTTTAGATTTCACATGGTTAAACAAAGGAATTTATGCGAATTCACAAGTTTCTATGCAGGAAAGAAGTAAAAAGGCAAAAACATTCTGGCAAAAGTCTGAGTAAGAAATAGATTTATATCCAAACTTAGAATAACTTCAGCAGACCCAGACAACATTTATGTTAAAGTGTTTAATTTTTTTCAGGCTGATAGGCTTGCTGCAGGCCTCTTGCAGCTGGGCCTTAAGCCTGGAGATCGATTGGGAATATGGGGCCCCAACTCCAGTGACTGGTATATCTCAAGAGTAGCTGCAGCTAGAGCTGGACTTATAGCAGTGAGTACCAACATCTTACAGTTTAAATACAGAAGGGGGCACTCTTAAGAGACTTCATGAGTTTGGTAGGATTTAGATGCAGTGACAAGAGGCTGAGGTACTCTATTAGTTGCCAGACATTTCTCACATCCCTGTACCTATGTTGGAGTTCCCAGGTATAGCTCATCAGTCATAAATTTGAATATAATTGCAATAATGCTTAATATAAATAAGAGGTAAAGATTATGATCTGGGATGTGACTCCATGCAGTTTGGTAGATATTCACCATCATCATGGAAAGAGCCTCCTGCCTTCATATTAAGGATAACAGAAACTTCTGACCCGAGGTCGGACACAGCAGGTTCCTCCAAAATATCTCTACCCATTTACTGTATTAAATGTCACATCCCTGAATATAGTAGTCTTTGATACACACCACAAGGAAAATCTCAAAGTATTTTGCACTTTTTCAGTTAGTGGATATGTATTTATATATTTGTTTTAGCTTTGCTTAAAAACAAGTACCTACATCCATATGAAAATAAAATTTTATATGCTTATGTTTAAAGATATATAATTTTGTTTAGGGCTACATAAATTCCATTTTTCTTTAGATATAACATGTAAAGCGACGGCCTCTGTGGTCTAGTGGTCAGGGTTCCTGGCTATAGATCCAGAAATCCGGGTTCGATTCCTGGCACTACAAAATTTTCTGAAAAGCAGTGGGTCAGGAATGGGGTTCACTTGGCATCTTATGGATAAATGAGGAACTATTTCAAGGAAATAGCAGCTCCGGTCTAGAAAACCGAGACTAACGGCCGTGAGGATCTGTTGTGCTGACCACGCGACACACTCTATTCCCTAAAGTTGGCACTAACTTCACCGACAAGCGGCGGTTGGTCGGCTGGTATAGTTCACTTGCAGACTGAAACCATGGAGTTTGTTTGTTTTAACATATAAAGCCTGATACTTTTCATGAATTTTGTTTGAAGTAGGAATGCAAGTCTGTAGGTCAAAATTATCAGCAATGGTACAGTTCTTACTCAGGAGAAGAGCTGTGATCCAGCCAGATATAGGTGACATGTTACTGGTTTGAGGCAGGAAACACAGAGTTTAGCAAATACATCCAACTGCTACTTATATGACTACAACTGTGTATGGTTTTCTCACCACCTGTGGATGTGAGTACTACATGCCCCACCAATCTGATCATATTTGGAATTCTGGTCACGTGTTCTCAATATGCTTTTGCGATGCCAAATAATTGTTTCAAGCCTGTATCAGCTGCAACATATGCATAATGGAAGCACACATCACTTATCTTAACAGAAGGGGTAAACACCTAACTCTCAAACAGTTCTTTTTCTTATTTACAATGTAAATACACTTATCACACACAAAGCTGCATTGTTTAGAGTGTGTCAATAAATTAACCAAAAACCAAAAACCGAAAAAGCAGAAAACTGATTGAGGCAGTCCCTTGTCATTTATCTGTTGCTTCATGCTACTTCAACAAGTTCTTTGCAATCATAACTTAATAAGCATAGCTCAGCATTATCACACACTTGAGTCTCCACTTATGTTGAAATGATATCTAGAAAACTTCCTGGGTTGTAAATAGTAATGACAACTCAAGTTGAAACGTACACTAACGATTTACATGTAGATTTTATTCCATTTTTCAAAACTTTGTCTAAAGTAAAATATCATAAGTAAAGATCTGAAGAACATGGTATCTGCAATTGGTGTTAACCAGATAAACAGAGAGTTTTTCACTCTTTTTCCGCTTCACATGAACACTAACCAACAAAACAGTCAATGGGAAGTATTCAGCTGTTTAATTATAGCACTGAATAACAAAATCACTCCTTCTTATTAGATAGACAGAGATAGAGATAGAGATAGAGGAGTAGAGTTAAAGAGGGAGGAGGAGAGGGAGAGGGAGAAAAATTTGACAATAAGAAAATATCATATTGCATTAGAATTTACATTATTTCATTTTAAAACGTTTTTCTTCCATTTTGATATGTATAGAGTAACTTGGAGATGATCAGAGTTATTAAAAAGTACAGGCATATTCAAATCCATCACATGCTCAATTAACTGAGACATCATCCAAATGAATCGATTAAATTCCACAAAACCAATTTAAATTTCTTCACCATCTCAGTATATTTTAACAATGTTCCCTCACCTTCCGCTCCTTATGATATTACACATGATTTATGTATTTCAGGTACAAATTGATCCAGCATACCAACCCCCAGAACTCTTGCATGCTCTTGTCAAAGTAGAAGCCAAGGCTCTTATTTGTGCAGAGAAATATAAATCCAACAATTGCTATGATATGGTGCAAACATTAATTCCAGAATTAAATAAGAGTGCTGAGGGTGGAATTGAAATTACCAGCTCTAAACTTCCAGCTCTGAAGACACTCATTGTTATGAGTAATGCACAACACAGGTGAGCTCACCTAGGTACGATATGGGTTCACCCAGCCTCCTATCCAATGGGTTCTGGCGGCTCTTTCCTCAGGGGTAAAGCAGCTGGGTCATGAAGATGAGCACTCACCTCCCGCTAGTGCCGAGGTCAAGTAAATGAAGATCTATACATCCACCCCCCATATGCCTTCATGATGTACTGCTTAATTATTTGAGCAGGAACAAGTTTACCGTTTACCTAAGAAACTGAGGAATATAATTTGTGTTGGCAACACTGAAAATACTTCAGTTGGCAAGACTGTGTGTTCTTGTGTTTGTTTACACTCTGTAGCGCTCGTGTCATTGGATTAGTGACTGTGTTAAGTGACCATCTAGTTAGTCACTGGCTTCCCACCGTGATGAACTGGGTTCGAGCCCAGGTCTGGCCAAGTGGGATTTGTGGTGGACAAAGTGGCGCTGGAGCAGGTTTTCTCCAAGCACTTCAGTTTCCCCTGCCAATCTTCATTCCACCAAATTCATCATCATCATCTGGGGCAGGTACAATAGGCCAATAAGTGGCAAATGTGCCGAGTGGTCCCAGTTGGACTCCACCCCCCACTAAGTGCAATACACAGTACTATCATGTTTTTATGCATGCAAAATTCAATTCTGGGCTTAAGCTTCAATCCCTCACATCTTTGTGTTTTTTTTTCTCTCTCTTGAATGTCACCAAATATGACTGTTCAGCATAATGATTCTGGCCACAGAATGATTTTATCAATGCAAAATAATGAAAAAGCATCTGAAAGTGACAAGCAACAAAAGCTGAATTTGCAGAAGCAGACTAATATCCTAATAGATTACACCAATAACACCAAAAACTTGTGTAATATGCAATTAAAATACTTAATTAAGTTCCACTTCCTTTTTATGTATTTTTCTTGTTATGAGCCATCTCAATCAATGGTCTTTCCTAAGAAAAGAAGTTTCACACTCATACAAAGCAACAGGTAAAACTATTGTTTTGCATAATTCCATTCTGCTACCACACAAAAGAATATTTCTCAGTCCCTCTGTATCAGAGTTACTGGGATTCTGGACTTTATCATTTCCAGGTATTCTAGAAACTAGAAAACGAAACGTTTTGGAACCTGTATCTGTTTCAGTCCTCAGGTGAGTGGTGGAACGCATCTATTTGGTTGGGTATCTTAGTAATTCTGAATGTTGTACACCATCCTCAGAACCCTTTAGAATAACATTTTATGTCAGTTGAAAACATTACAGTTATTTAGAATAAGGTATGTCGACCACCTCTTGATTCCCAAGTTGGAGGACACCTCTTGACAACCGACCACAGTTACTTGTTCAATATGTTTAGCGCTATTCTTCACATACAACAGAATCTGTCTCATTACCAGTAATTCACATTTTACCTTAGTTGGTTTTAGTTTGTTACCTCTGTCCATAACCTTATGAAACACAAAGCCGCCATGGCAAAGGGCCAATAGAACAGGGTTTCTGACTTTCAGCTGACATACCACAATATAAACGGGTGGATTAAAGACTTAATATAACCTGTTTCAAGCCATAGATTATAAATCTCATTTAGTGACACTGAATTTGTCTGAATGTATCTGGCATAATTACAATCTATACTGCCATCTTGTGACATTTTCATGTACCATAGCTATTACATGGAAATGGTTTAAGAATATTTCTGTTTATTAGAGCTTTAATTTCTTAGACTCAGCAGCATATTTTCCTTTATCATCTTAATAATGATCCACATATTTCCAGTGTTATTTCTGATTAACAGAGGCGCTTATCGGCTCAAGGACATTATCTTATCTGCAAGTGAAGAGTACATCCAGGAAGTAAATCAACTGCAGACACTCATACAGCCGGACGATGGATGTACTGTTCAGTTCTCATCTGTAAGAATGCTTGAACAATACCTAAATACATATTGTGGGGTTTTATGTAGTTTTGTCATTACTTCAATGACAACCCACTTCTTCGGAACAGTTTTGTAGGTCCTGAAAAGGACCGTGGTTGCTGAGATGCTTGACCGGTGAGGTAACGTGGCGCGTGCCGGTAGGGCGAGAGGTTAGTTGCGATAATTTGACTGGCCACAGCGCGGCCGTTGCTGGAGGTTGCTCGATCGCTGTGCAGCAGGTGAGTTGAAGTTGCGGGTCGCGCAGCGCGATCGTAGGAGTGATGAGGCAGTGGCTACTCCAGATGCCCAGTGGGTCGGACAGGGACACGACCACCGACGAGTCCAGGCGAGGTGCCCCAGTGCGTCGGGTGTGAGAGACGGAGGGCCGAGGCAGTCGTGCCTGGCGCAGCCTGCCGATGCCTCTGAAGACCGAGCGCTGACGACGAAGCCTGCTGGCTGATGTTGCTTGAGTGTGGCTTGATCGTAGACTGATATCAGACTCATGATGCCGGTTTGCGGCTGCTCCTTTTATACACTGCTCGGTGGGCGGAGCGAAACTTGAAATTGAGGAGGACGAATTTGCAGGGCGCTGATTGGCTAGCGCGCGTGATGATGTAGTTGTGGGGCTAGCAGCGAGCGCAGTATAAATGCGAACGTTTGGAGCAATTTGATTGGTGGTGATAATGTGGGATATTCCCACAGGGTGTTGGATGAATTGAGCGATTGGTGATGGTGATGATCAGAGCTTGGTTACATAGTGTGCGTTTTGTGAGTTGAGACAGGACTGAATGCCGACTGAAGATTGTCTGTTTGACATCATCAAAGCGACACTTCATCGCCAGTTTCGGGGTTGGAGCGATAATCATTAGTGTGCTGTAGGATCGAGCAGATCGACTGGAAGTCAAGTGGTTATTAGCAGTGTATCATTGAGATCGGACAGGACTTGTTTGAAAAAGGAGAGATTGGTTGACCCAGTGACAGGAATCTTCAATTCATTCTTTGTCAAGTTAGGAGGACAGCTACTTGTTAGGAGGTCGGATTGATCATTGAGCAACATTGGTTGTGGATTCAGTGCGGGCAGTGAGTTGTCTTACTATCTTCTAGTCTAATACGTCAGTACTCGGCTGGGTTGTTCAATCTGTAAGTGTCGAGCTAGAGATGGCTGGCGTCCCTGTGCCGGGGTACCAGGCATTCTGGGCCGAAAAACGTGCCGCTTTACAGGCCGAATTTAAAGAAATTATTAAGCAATACCCCGATGCCGAAAAACGATACAGGCGCTTTTTCGACATCCTGTGCAGCATTGAGGACGTGGTCTGCTTCGCAACTGCTGCGATTGGAGAAAGTGCAGAATGGGCGGCAATAGTCAGCGCCGCCGACGAAAATAGAATTAATTACTGCAAGGCCCTCTCCGGCAAGACACTGTTCAGTGCGCTCTATGGAAATTATACAGTTACGCTGAACGAGCTGAAGTCCCTGGTAAAGGCCAGCGCATCAGGCACAAATATTCCAGCCCGGTAGGAAGGCTTCAAAGAAGTCCAGAGGAGGAAACGACAAAGTACCGCTGAATCCGCACCGACTACTAAGAAAACAACGGCAGCCTTCGAAAGGAATCCCAAAACAGACGTTGCCACCAAAAACTACTTCGCCCCCCTCATGGAGGCAACGATGGAAACAGAAACTTCCGGTGCAGAAGCCACTATGCAGGAGGAGGAAACCTCAGGCAAAGCAGGCAGGCCCCCCCCCCAATAATTCTCACATCCACGGTGAACGTCCCCGTTGCACGTGGTGCGGGGGTGGCCACCTGCACAAAGAGTGCCCTGAGAAGGAGAACGCTGCCTCCACTCCAGCTTGCTGCAATTGCGAATTGAAGGAAGGAGAGAAGCCCCATCCCGCCAAATATCGGGGCTGCAGACACGCGAGGGAGGAACTGCAGAGGAGGAAATCGCAGAGAGCACCCAAAACCACGACGGGAAGGGTGTTCTCGAATATCGTTACCCCTGGAGTCTCCTTCGCGGCGGCGCTCCGTGGCAGCACGTCGCAGGAGCAGCGACCTCAGACTCTCCAAGTTCCAGTGGCAGTCCGACCTGAAGCCACGAAACCGAGCGTCCCGGTCCTTGTACAGGAACAAAAAACAGGTCAGTCAACTCAAGCTACTCATGTAAACAGTCCATCCCTCGACAATATGTTGAGAGTAGTGACTGTAGTACAGCAGATTATGACAGAGGTCGGTGGTGGAGTGTCTGAGGAGGAAAAAATAATGGCCATTACCAAAATTGTTCTAAACGTAATGAAACAAAATGGCCACTAGAATTCATAGGCCCCTCAAAGTTATAACATTGGGATTGGGAGGCATTGGGAGGCAGCGCTATGAGCTCAGTAAATAGCTGCAAGACCTACACGTAGATGTGGCCCTGTTTTCAAAGACACGTCTGAAACTTCATGAGAGGTTCTGTATTCCAAATTACCACTTTTATAGAATCGACCGCCACTCGGGCAGAAAGGGCGGAACTGCCGTTGCAGTAAGAAAAGGCATTCCCCACAACCATGTAGACCTACCACCCCTTGTTTCAGTAGAAGCGACAGGGGTCTGCATACCAATTGGTAATAGCGAAGTGCTGCTTGCAGCTGTTTATAAATCTCCAGGCAAAGCCTGGAGTGATGCTGACATCACTGAGCTCTTAAGCTTCAGACGAAAGTATATTTTGGCAGGTGATTTGAATGGTAAGAACCCCTTTTGGAGTAGCAGAGTTTCAAACCCCTCAGGCTTGAAACTTATGGATTTATTTGATATGAGTGATTTCGAAATCTCAGCACCACAGTGCCCCACTCATTATTTCCCTGCGGGAAATGGTGACGTGTTAGACATTGTAGTTCAGCAAAATATCATTGTGTCGGATGTCATCGTCTCCGATATTCTGGACTCAGATCACCTACCAATAGTATTCCACATACTGGATCGCGTTAAAATTAGGAATCTTTCGGAACCCATTGAAAAATTTAGAGATTGGGAACGGTTTCAAAGCCTCGCTTCTGAATTAATATCACCTAAACTATAAATTAATTCGGGGGTAGAAGCCCATAAAGCGGCACGTGACTTTGCAGCATCTGTTGCTTCGGCATGTAGGCTGTCGACAAGTAAAATTACACTTTCGGACATAAACAGCGATCTTCCTGGTCTAGATCGTTTGATAAAATATAAACAGAGGCTACGAAAACTGTGGCAAGAAACCAGGGATTCAACGTGTAAAACGGCAGTCAATTGGGTCACCAAATCAATCAGGCGAATTATCCGAAAAAAGGCACTTGAACGGTGGGAAACAAAAATAGGTAACGCTGAAGTCATACCTCAGGGTATATGGCCCATTGCGAAATCTTTCCTTAAGAGAGACTGACCAAGGGCACCAACTGCTATTCATGGTTCTTCTGGCCTAAAATTTTATCCTTCTGAAAAAGCCAACGAAATTGCCGACTGTTTGGAAATTCAGTTCACGCCACATGACCTGTGCGACGAAAACCATGAACAGCGGGAGGAGGCTAGAGTTCAAGCTTTGCTGGAAACTGTAGACGAAACCCCCCCTCAAAGGATCAGACCATGTGACGTTCAGAAATTAATAATTTCTCTGAAATTAAAAAAGGCCTGTGGAATTGACGGCATCCCAAATGAATGCCTCAGGCACCTTCGAAGGCGAGCATTGGTTCACCTAACTCATTTATTTAATCACTGTTTTCGGCTTTCTCATTTTTCAAATACTTGGAAGGAAACAAAAATAGTAACTTTACCTAAACCGGGTAAAGACCCGAAATTTCCTCAAAATTTACGTCCGATCAGCCTCCTGTCCACGACAGGAAAACTATTCGAAAAAGTAATTTTGAAATTCCTCCGTAAACACATTGAAGAAAGAGGCCTGCTCATCGCAAGTCAGTTTGGTTTTCGTGCACGTCACAGTACGACATTGCAATGTATGAGGCTGGCGGACCACGTGACCCTTAATTTCAACAATAAAATGTCTACGGCTGCAGTGTTCTTGGACATCGAAAAAGCCTTTGATACCACGTGGCACTCAGGATTGCTGTATAAGTTATCAAAATTGGATTTCTCGAACAGTTTCACCAAACTTATTGGGTCGTTTCTTTCTAAACGTAAATTCAGGGTCTCGGTTGAAGGCGAAATGTCAACGCCAAGGGAAATGCAAGCAGGGGTGCCACAAGGTTCTGCCCTTTCCCTTACTTTTTTCAAATTGTATATTAATGATGCTCCCCAAACACATGGTGTTCACCTGGCCCTCTTTGCGGACAACACCTGTCTATATGCGATGGATCGCAAGGAAGGTTTTATTGTTAGAAAACTCCAGCACGGTCTCAGCTCAATGGAGACCTGGTGTGAGCGCTGGAATATAAAAATTAATGAAGATAAGGCTCAGGGGGTCTACTTCTCTCGTGGTCGTCGACCGCCTGAGTCTTGTCTTACTCTAAATGGAAGAAATATTCCATTTGTAAATAGTGCAAAATATCTAGGTGTAATCTTCGATAAGAGAGTGACATGGAGATTACACATAGAAATGATCGAAGCCAAGGCCTTCAGAACATTCATTAGAGTATACTCCCTATTCAAAAGTGAGCGACTGAGTGCTAACATTAAACTGACCCTCCGTAAAGCTCTTATTAGATCCGTAATGACTTATGCTAGTACCGCCTGGAAGTTTGCGGCAGACACCCATCTAGTGAAATTGCAGCGCCTGCAAAACAAGATTCTCCGCACGATTGGCAATTTTCCACTGGTCCGCGAATTGCACATGGCATTCAAAATTCCATACGTATATGATTACATAACAAAATTATGCAGGCAACAAGCAGAAGTCATACAAAATCATGATAATGAGAATGTTAACAACATTGGACAAGGCGAAGCCAGCCACAGAAAGTATAAATGGCTTAAACTTGGCGGCGGTCAGGCATACGACCGTTCAAGTGACTAGACTACCGTGATAGCAGTTACTACTAGAAATAGGACATAATCTGCTGTACCATGCATGGGTTGACAGAGGCCTTGTACATATTGTACAGAGAAGGTACAAGTGTGGATTTGTAAATTATGTAAATACAGACAGTGGACTTGTTATTACAGACTGACTGACAAATGACAGACCCGACTTCTCATCAGAGAGGGCGCGCCAAATGGACAGGACAACAACTTTCATAACAAAGAAAACATCTGGCCATGAGCCTCAGCTAGGGCTCGACACCAAGACAGACAGACTGACTGACCGTCAGTGGTAACATGACTTTGACTTTGAATTTGATTGGTTAGCGCGCGTGATGGTGAAGAGTGATGTGATGAGTGTGCGTTGCAGAAAATGCGTGATAATGTGGGATGTTCCAACATTTTATATTATATCAATTTTCTTTCTTTCTATGAGGAAAAGAAGTATTGAATGTACAGTCTCTCCAAAGAACAGACTCTCTTAAGCAGAAACAAGTATTATGACAAAATTTATCCGGCTCAGAGAGTGAAGAGTAAAAGCTATTCCAAAATTACCTCTTATACAGAGGAAGTTTTCACAACAAATATAAACTGCAACAAGATTTCAACTTAGAATAGTCTGACTAAATGTATTTATATGTACAAGAATATAATTTTGTTTTGCACTGAAAATGGTCATTGCTCAGTAGTAGCATAGACATGTGTGCAACACAAAACTGTCATAACTCCTCGGCCATTCAGCCTTTGGCATAGTCACAATACTGACGGCCATCCTGGCACCAGTATGGTCTAGTAACTTTCCAATTATAACGTAACAATATAAGTTAATGTCTGATGGCGATACAACTTCAGAGATGGATGGATGGATGGATGGATGGATGGATGGATGGGTGGATGGATGGATGGATGGATGGATGAATGAATGAATGTAGAAGGGGTGGGCCTTCTTGGCCCTTGCACCATGACCTACAGTGGTCTATTGTGCTTGCCCTTTTGATTATCCCCTCAGCAATCCTACACTTCGAATGAAGCACAGGATTTTGTATGTGGGGGCGTCAAAATAGTCACTTGGTTCCATAAAGTATTGACCCAAGTGACGTAGTCTTAAATAAGCTAAGGCCTCACATTCACACAGGATGTGTGGCTGTTTCATTTTCTTCTTGACACCTCTCACAAGTGGGACTATCACTTAGTAACCTGTCATAATGAGGGTTCGTTGTGTGTAATTATATCTTTCAGTTGAACTTTAAGTAGAAAATGTTATTTGTGTGTTTTAATAAAGGGCACAACTGGAAGTCCTAAAGCTGCCCTCTTAAGCCACCATGCCTTGGTCAATAATGGCTACTTCATCAGAACACCCATGAACAAAGACAGAAAGGTATGTCTTTTCAGAATACAAAGTATTCTCACTCCATAGAATAGATCCTTTCCTGTGAAGATAATAAGTATTCAGATGTCTGCCCGATCTAAACTCTTCTTTTGCTGTGGACTACAAAAAGAAGCTGTGTGAAATGCTTAAAAAATGTTTAACTTTAATTGTTTCTTGCATCCTGTTGTGTATTTAATCAATATTAGAGTCAATTTACCGACCACACAACATATTTTTATTACTATCACACTACATGTTTCGACCTCAAGAGGTCATCCTCAGGTGTATGAACACAGTATAATTACACGGAATCACATTTGTCTTCTCACTTATTCGATCCTGTATCTTATTCAGGCCCACGCTCAATAATATATCAAGCTCCTCTCACAAAACATAAGTTAAAATATATTCTAAATGTCAAAAGTTAAAATTTAAAAATTTAAAATTTAAAATTTGTGAATCGAATTTCAATTCAGATCACTAGTTATGCTTTCACTTTCACTTGTTATTCAGTCACTTCCTACTTACGCTCATCACTGCGTCAAGTTCATTTTAAGTAGTTTAATTATATTATAGTTTAAAAGTTCATGAATTAAAGTTCAATTTTATTATATTGATCGCACTTTTCACTTATTGGAGGTCTCGCTGTTCTTCCTTGTCGACAAGGACCGTAACTGGTCCAGCAACATCAGAGGATGCAGAAGAACAGCAAGACCTCCAAAAAGTGAAAAGTGCGATCAATATAATAAAATTGAACTTTAATTCATGAACTTTTAAACTATAATATAATTAAACTACTTAAAATGAACTTGACGCAGTGATGAGCGTGAGGAAGTGAGTGAATAACAAGTGAAAGTGAAAGCATAACTAGTGATCTGAATTGAAATTTGATTCACAAATTTTAAATTTAAAATTTTTAAATTTTAAATTTTAACTTTTGACATTTAGAATAATATTTTAACTTGTGTTTCGTGAGAGGAGCTTGATATATTATTGAGCGTGGGCCTGAATAAGATACAGGATCGAATAAGTGAGAAGGCAAATGTGATTGCGTGTAATTATACTGTGTGTGTACACCTGAGGATGACCTCTTGAGGTCGAAACATGTAGTGTGATTGTAATAAAAATATGTTGTGTGGTCGGTAAATTGACTCTAATATTAAAAAATGTTGTTGGTTTTCATTAATAAGGATCATTGGGTTCCACATAAGGCAGGGAATTGTTTGACTGTCTTCTCAAGAATGATTTTACTCCATTGGATTGGTTAATTAGTTTTTAACTACTAAATTGGCAATAAAATTAAGTTTTTAAATTCAGGGTTCTTTTACATGGTCTGTATCCATTACAGAGTCTTCTGGGTATCACACTATGTTAAAATAATAAAGAATTTAATTTTCAATGGAACTTGCTGCTTTAATCGGGGTTTAAGTGATTTACCATTCAATGTCTGAAGTCTTGTAAATCATGTTCATCTGTAATGTCAATAATTTTTATTATTTTGACCTACTGCGATACTCAGGAATTTAACAACCTAATTTCTTACTCTGTACTGATCCAGGTACTGGCTCAGAGGGATGAAGTCCCTAACATAAAGACTAAGGATGTAATATCGTGTTCCTAGTCATACAAAATCTACAATTAAATAAATATTTCTTTTCCCATCTTTGCACCACACATTTTCACACAATATGAAAACTTTGTTGCAAATATTCAATTTCATAAGTAAATAATCATACCCTTAACCGCACCATCTGTTGATGACCAAGAAGTTATTGACGAACCCAAGACCAAGCAGGTTAGTCAAGCAGTAAAACATAGACCAGTATCTGGAGGCATTCATTACTAATCTCAGCTGGGGCACCAGTTATCAGCACTGATATTTTTCATGGTTTCCTCAGTCCCTCCAGGCAAATGTTGTGGTAGTACCTAGATTAGTCTATAACTGCTTTGTTTCAAATTCTTTTCAACCCATCTTTCATTACTCACCTTCTATTCAATGCTATATCATAAAATAAACCTATGAACCCAAGGCCATGAAAATCTCTCCATCTCCACCTATCAAACTATTAATATAGTACATATTTGTGTTGTTATTATACAAAATATGTTTTAAGCCCCTCATATTTTAACACTGAAGTGTATTTCATACGATTCCAAGTATGTCTTTCATAGCACATTAATATTAACTCCTAGTTTCCCATAGAACTTAATATTGCTAATAATTACTTCCATCCATGTGTTATATCAGGATTGTAGTTTTTGCTGTAGTTAAGAATTCTTGTATGAGAGGCAGTAAAAGAAAGTTTACATGTCATGTCTCTTGAATAGATTCACATCATCATTGTAGAAAACGTAAATTTTTATTCTGCAGTGTCCCCATATAGACTGAAACTCATTTATACCAGGGGATGAGTTTCCCTGTCCCCTGTCTGTAGAATTTATAGTTGTGGTCTTTCGGCCCTGATTTCAGAGGGGTTTCCACTTTAACAATTTTGACCTATTAGATATTGCTTCATCTGTTTCTAGAATTGATATCACATAAAGGAGGCCACAGCTGTAAAAAAATGTCTATCAATAGTCACTTAAGATCTGTGCAATGATAAATTTTTGTCATTTTTAACTGAATCTTTATTTTGCAGGGAGTAAAAGTGTGTGTTTTAACACAGTTCTGTCACTCTTCAGGCAGCTTTCATGGCATTATTTGTAACATACTTTTTGGCTACATTGTTGTTTTGCCAGCACCTACATTTGATGCTAAGAAAACTTTGGAAGCCATTACACAAGAGAGGTAAGATTAGTGTGAGAATTCATGACAAATCTTACAAAAATATATTAATTGTTTAATTAAACGCTGTTTATTGAACAAGATATAGGTGTTCTTAATCAGGAATTTTCTCTTAAAACTGAAGTGCATTTCACAGCCAGTATACCTATTTCTAAACTTGTCAGAAGTCACATGTTTGCTGGTAAAAAAAAAAAAAAAAAGTAAAGCTATCCCTGCAACAGGCCATGAAGGCCCATAGGGTTCTGAGATGTTGAGGTTCCCACATTATATAGACAATCGGCTCAAAGATGGCGGTAAGGTTGTCAGCCTTATACACCGGCTGCGCTTTACCCCCCAGGAAAATTATTTAATTAATTCCTGGTACTCATTTCGGCTAGAGGCTGAGTCGACCCCAGGACCATAGTGTGGCTGGAAGGATTAGGTCAATTGAAAAAATCCACTGACCTCTTCAGGACTTGAACCTATAACCTTCCGGCTTGTAGTATAGTGCCTCGACCAACTACTCTACCGTGTGTCCCTATGTTTACTGGTGCATTGTGTTTCAGTCTTGTGGATTTTTCATAAGAGTACCAGCAAACGTGCTTTTAGGAAAGAAAGTACTGCATATACATATCCATTAATTAGTTATACTTGACCAGCACTATTCACATCAGAACAACACAACTATATCAAAACACACATAGGACAGCCATGTTTATTAAAGAACATTGGTTGATTATATCTGCACAGTGGTTATCTGAAAACCTACTACCAACTGTTTAGCCTTTCCACAGGATGAACATGTGTAAGTCGCATCAAATTGCACAATGCACGTGTGGACTCATGGAACAGTTACAAGCACTGTAGGCTATACGCACTATAATTCCTCTCCAATGACACTTCCATAAAACTTTGAATGGGTACCAAGAATTAAGTTTATGCAATATTTATGCAATACGAGGGTTGGAACTTAAATAGTGGCAACTATTTATTTACAACTGATACAAAATAGATGCATGTTTCGAAGTTTTACTGTCCTTCAGTGTAGTCACTGGCATTGTGTACAACCCATTGCCAGTGATGTGGAAGTCACAGAATACCTTTAGCAGTGCCTGCTGTGTTGATAGTTTGAATAGAGCGACCTACTGCCTGAACAATTTCTGGAACAGTTCTGAAGCAAATGCCACGAAGTGGTTCCTTCATCTTAGGAATCAAGTCGAAGTCACAAGGGCTTATGTCCGGGGAGTATGGTGGATGGCACAGCACTTCCCAGCCCCATCGATTGAACAAATCAGCCACAGCTTGTGCTGCATGTGGCCAAGCATTGTCCTGCAAAATGAAGGGTGGGTTCTGCAGAAAGTGTCACCGCTTCTTTCTCAAAGCTGGTTGCAGATTGTGTTCCAAAAATGAACAGTAATACTGCGCATCGACAGTCTGCTGTCGGGGAACGGTGTGCGTTAGGATAACATCACAGTCGTACACAAGAATCACCATAACTTTCATACGGCTGGGGTTCTGACGAACTTTTGATTTTCGTGGTGACCCATAATGACACCCTTCGTTCGATTGGCGTTTCATTTGTGGCTCATACGATTTGGCCCGTGTCTCATCCAGCATAATGATACAGTGTAAGAAAGCCTCTCCTTCGCGCTCATAATGCTCTGAGTGGATATGAGCAGCGTCGTACCATAGCCATTTCTGCATTTCCATCAAATCATGCGGAACCCATCATGATGCAATTTTTCTCATGCCCAGGCATTCCTTCAGAATGTGAAGCACAATCGTATGTGCTAATCCTGTCTATCGGGCCAGCTCACAAATCGTATAGTGTCGATCACTCTCCAGTAACATGGAAAGAGCATACACTTCTTCTTCACTGACACTAGGACGACCTGGCCGACGCATGTCTACCACATTTTGGAGTCCCTTGTATGCCCACCTAGCCACTGTTCTGCAAGGCAATGCAGATTCCCCGCAAGCCTCTTGAAGGCCTTGATGACACTGTCATGCTGTATGGCCTCTGGCACATTCAATCTTTATCCAACTCTGTTGTTCCTGTTTCGAAGACATCGTGACAACACTACATTAGACCGCCAACTAACACGAGGCTCTGTTCTTCTCGTCACTTCATGCACGTGATGCGGGAAGGGAGAGTTAATTTGCTCTGAGGTGAGGTAGGTATGTAACTAATGTGTGGTATAAGCGACATTATTTGGTTCCGTTGCATGGCGTCTCTACAGCTGTGTTGCCACTATTAAAGTTCCAACCCTCATACATGCTTGTTGGCTGTAAACCGAAGTTCCTGCTCGCGGTATTAAGTATTCAGTTAACTGCAACTTACTGTGTCAAAATGGTGAATGAGGTTTCATATAAAATATCCATGTGAAAGTATGGAGAAGTTTCTTGTGTAAATTTCTGAGGGTTGCAGTTCCAAATAAGTAGGAATTATTCATACAGTGATAAATAAATTTAGACTGGTAGGGTTATCATTCAATAGAACAAGATCAAAATGCTGAGTGCTCATTGCAGAGAAATTGGATGAATCAATCATAGGCTTAGACATCTTTATATCAAAAAGGAGTTCACTCCTTCAGCATCACAGTGTTCAATAGCCTCCACCAAAGCCTCAAAAAAGCAACTAGTAATATTGAAACTTTACATTGGGGCACATGGTAGTGTAGTTGGTTAAGGCACTATGCTACAAGCCAGAAGGTCACTAGTTCTAATCATGATGAAGTGGATATTTTCAATTTACCTTATCCTTCCAGCCGCACTATGGCCTTGCGGTCGACTCAGCCTGTAACAGAAATGATTACCAGAAATCTTTCTGGGTGGTTAAGGGCAGCCAGTGTGTAAGGCTGACAACCTTACCGCCATCTGTGAGCCTCGATGTCTCACAACCCTATGGGTCTTCATGACCTGTTACAGGGATACCTTTACCATATTGAAAGGTTACATACTTAACTCGCTCTTTCTACTCCAGAGATTAATACTTCAGTGTAAACAAACATTAACTAGTATCCGTTCTAAGTGCGATTTTCATGTAATTAACAAGAGTGATCTTGAGGGAGAATTTAAGAGATAACCTACATAGCACTGCAAATAGTGAACAAACATACCAAAAATGTGTGCACAGAATTTTCTGCAAAGCAGATAAACGATACAACCAGAAAAGAAGAGAAAGTTCATGAATAGCAGTAACTCTATTTGAGAAATAAAATTGTTAGTATGCAGATATGAAAAACATTTTTAACCAAAATATATTAACAAGTTTAATGTTAAATGTAATGCTGTTCTTAGTTTAGTAATATAATTTTAAAACAGTTTCATTTCTGCATATGATGAATTTTCAAAATACAGCGAAAACTCAATTCAAGATTTCTCTGGGGACTAGTGGAGTTGAACCCTAAACTGAGGACAATATAAATGGAGGTAACTCGATACTGAAATTATTGGCCTGGGTTCATTGAAATTGAACATTAAATAAGCAAACACCTTAAATAAAAAAATATTGAATGGGGTGGTGGTGCACTATATTATTCATAAATTTTGAGGTGTTTGCTAGGAGTCTTGTAGGTGGATACTAACATATCAGAAGAACATGCCGCCGGTGTTTTCAGGATTGAAGCATGTAGGTTCAGTTATTGCATTGTTCATATAGGTATGCTGCAAAGATAGTGGTTCTAGGCTTCCTTCCCTTAGTCCCACCCTCGAGTCTCATAGTGCATATGATTATGCAACCTGTATATGTGACTAAGGCAGTTACTGCACCAACATGCTTCAATCCTGAAGATGGAGGCAGGATGTTCCTCAAAAATATCAGTGTTGCAACCCAGAAGACCACACCCTGAATTATCATCACAGATCTTTTCAGAACTTGATATAATTTCAGGTGCACAGACTTGTTTGGAACCCCATCAATGTATGTGGACTTAATCAACACTTCACAAGACCTGAACCTTAAGGTCACAACACTTCAGGTGGCAGGATGTGGTGGTGCACCATGTAGCCAGCAGTTGGCCTTGCAGATAAAGCAGACATTAAATGTCAGGCACTTGCGTGTAAGTTCTTGAAAGCACAAAACTAAATTTAAAAGAAAGAAATATATTTAAACATGTAAAATGAACTGAAGACCATGCAGATGACATGGAATGATGAAGATTACTATCTTCTGCGAGGTGATGCCATATAGACTCATAGAAGTTCTGTTACCAACCTACACAGCATCACATTCCAGATAATTGCAATCTAAGTACTACTGTGTGTATCTCATATCTTATAATTAATATATATTGGGAGTGACAGTATCTGGCATAGAAATAACATAATGATACATAAGACATTTTTAAGTAATCTAGAAATGTCATTGCCTAGCAAGTTCTATCAGAGGATTAGCCTTCTTTTTTAATGTTCCAGCAAGGTTATGGAATGACAGAAGTGTCAGGAGTTTTTTTTTCGACATTTAATGATACCTTGGAGCACGTCACAACTACAGTTGGCTGCCTTGTGGATCACTGTGAGGTAAGGTCCATTTTAAACAGCAAGAAGATCTGGGAGCAACTTACATATGTATTCCTTTGAATACATTTCATGAAATAATGAATTACAGTAAAACCTACCCACGCTGGAAACCAGAGGGAACTGAACTTCTCTTTTAGACAGGTCCTCAACTCTGTAAGTGTGCATGACAATGTGCATTATGGCATCATTGTATGTAATATTCATATCTGTTGCAGTTTCCTAGGCAATATATGCAGTAGCTATAGCTGACTGAGTTATGTGACAGAATTTTTTAATACACTTTCCACCCTTATTCCCAATTGTTTCTCTTTTAATTACATGAATATACAACAGTTTCCTTATGTAAGTGTTGGTCCTTCTTTGTTGTTGTATATTGTGATATTGACAAAAAAATCAACCATATCCAAGGTTAGGAACTGACACTTCTCCTTGTTTAATATATTTATTTACTTGCTTATCCCTTCTCTTGACTTTCATTCTTCCTTTCTTACTTCCACAAATGTGCATATGCCCAGAAAAGTAATATCACTTTGTACTCTGAAAATATCAGACTTGAATTCTGGCATAGACTGAGGATTTTCTGAGTTAGATT